TCATAACTAAAGCAAAAGAAGCAAAAAAGTGACATATTCATTCAAAACACATACATCTAAAATAAAATGCTTCACCCTAGCGTATCATTGAATAATCAATGCATTAAGAACATTCAGATGTATTATTAAATAACAAAATCACAAGAAAACCTCCATTATTGTGTTGGTGTGTGTTGAAAACAGAGCAACTTAGAACCAGGAAACCTCCCCCACCCTGTAAGCTAACATTTGGAACAACATTTATTTGGCATATGAAAAAAATCTGGCAAGTTTCCCCCCACCCCCCTTACAACCAAAGCTTGTAGTCTGCCGTACAAAACAAGTTCAGCACACACACACAGTACAACATCTCCACCTATATTTAGAGCTGTATCAAACCGCTACTACAACCTCCACTGCTCAACTGAACAGCACCCAGCATGCCACCAGGCATTGGCAAGCCTCAACCTCGAACATAATCATCTTAATTACCAGTTTTGAATAATTAAGCATGAGAAAAATAAAGTTAAACATGCAGTTCCGCATTTTCTATATAGATACAAAGCCTTTTAGTGCAGGTCTTTTCCCCCCCTGTTGTATGCCTTTGTTTAGCTGCATCTGTTTATTTACGTATAAATAAGGTGCAATGAATCAGCGGCACTATCAAATAAAAAGGGGGGATGAGGGTTGCATAACTGACCACAACAGGTAACCCATCAACACATTATGTAACATTGGCAATGGCAAATAAAAAAAAGACAAGCTTCCAAAAATTCAGACCAAGCAGAAATTATGCAAACAATGCAGACAAACCTTTAAGAATCACAGAAAACTATATATGGCAAATACAGATGTAGAAATTATTGGTCTTCTGATTTTCTCATTAGAATAATACTTGTGTAGTTTTAAAATTGCTGTAGATTAATTTTTGTTTTATTTATTCAGTGGCATTGTTTAAAAAATTGCAATAAGTAATAATTACATTATGAAAATTATAAAAAAAATTGGTCAGAATCTTTTGTTTTTGTAGTCATTGATCAGGGCATGATAATTGAAAAGCAATATGTTCTACAGAGACTTGTTGTTACCGATAACATAAAAAGTTGAAGTAGTGATGAGGGGATAAAATACAATTTTTTTAGTATGTGTTGTAGGCTTGATGGAGCTTTCTTGCTTCATTCAAAACAAGGTCAAGGTTGATAATAGAAGGTCATGGTCACCAGAGAGTTGACAGGCATGCCAAGACTAGTAGTAACAGGTTAGCCACAATCATGTTCGTTGAATTTTCTCCAACACTACCCACTGAAACGCAAGAAGAAATAAATTCTCTTTGAATAATGGTGATTAATTATGTTTTTTTTTTTTATTTTCAATTGGGTTTTTTTCTTGTAAAGTTTTTTTTTAATCGCCATCATTGACTTATTAGTAACATTTAATGAATCCATCTCTGTCAGCTGCAGGTAATTGTTTGGGTTTTAAAAAAAAACACAAATTACTTAGATTTCTTAAAAACATGAAGTGAAATCATCTGTAAAACAAACAATGAATATTAGTAGGTCCATAAGTTCATCTGGTGGATTAAGTTATTTCTTAATTCATCCTCTAGGCTTGGTGGTCACTTCTTGGCCAAGCTAGAGAAAAATCTGCCACATTTTTAAACACAGGCTGAAAAACTACTGGATCCATTGAAGCAAACAACAAAATGCTCTTGTGGGTATACAGGTGCAACACTGACACAGAACACACTCAGGTGACAAGCTATCTACAGGTGGTAGGGGTTGGTTGATTACTCAACAAATAAAAAAGCACCAAAACACTCAAGGGTAAAAACATATGCAGCCATTTTTTTCCTATTTAACTGCGATAATTTAAAACTGATTATTTTTTATTTCAAAAAGGTGGTATTTGTTGTAATCTTTTTGCCAAATTAGTTTAAGGTTAAGATTATGCAGAAGACCTGTAAGCTCATTATGGTTAGTTTGATTATTGTGAGAGTGTAAGCCTACTTTTATGCACTTTTTTAATCATGGTTAGAAATGTGTTAGCTATTTTTAATAAAGCAGAACTGTGGAAGCTACTTAAAGATTTGGCTAAAATTAAGAGGTATACATAAACTAAAAAGCAAATAAGTTAAAAGAGTTTGTGTACAATAAATAATAGAGGGACAAGAAAAATGTATTTTTAGAATGTTATTACGGTTATTGAATAAATTGAATAAATTGCTACTTTTTAGCTGCTTTAGCTCTAGTGTACACATCTTTTCAGTGAATATCACACACTCCACACAAGCTATCAAGTCCAAATACCAAAAATTTGCATTCCAGTCATTATTTTTTTAATCAGCTAACTACAGAGGGCTAGCTTGGTGCAAATATAAAATTATTCTACTACTGCTTCTTCTATGAAAATTTAGGTAAGTCACACAAGCAATACATATATTTAAAGAAAAATTTTGATATAACTGCAGAACTTTAAGTTTTGGTTTATGAGATTCATCATAAAGTTTTGAAATACCAGGAAAATAACATGAATATCCAATGACCTAAACTAGAAAAACTAATTTTAAAATTATTAATTAAAACTAAGTGAGGTTCTTTTTAAAGCTAATTTTCTAATACATATTTATTAATTTTTGTTTAAATCTATTTAGATCTAGATCTAGATCTAATATAAGAAAATAGAGTAATATTTTTCTTATCATTTTTCTTTTATAAACTTTTTAAAACTAGATCTAATTGCATTTTAAAGAGTCAAGAGTGATTTGCAAAATGATGTATTATAAGCTTAACTTACAAAATTAAGAATCAAGTAATAAATTAATAAATAACATGGATGGCTTAGCTGATTAAAATTTAACACAAAAAAAATGAGGAAAATTATTACAATTTTAAAAAGTAGAACAAAATGAAAATAGCAAGCTCAAGTTCAATGATAGATCTAGATGATATGAATTTTAGAAGTCCTTGCTTGTCCTTCAAGTCATTAGCTTGACAAAGTTAATTATCTTGGTACAACTTGATCAGCCATCTTGATTCATATTTTTTTATACTACAAATAACTAAGGCAAATGAAATTATCAGTAACTGAATCCCTGGCTAATGAATTGCTGTGCACAATCGTTGAAGGAACTGATGCCTTCTGCTTCCAATTTTACTTCAGGAAATAAAGCATGCCAACCGGCTATAAATAAACTAAGTCATGTGACCAGTAAAAATAAACTATGCCATGTGACCACATGTGTGCAAAACATTAAATCAACATTTCATAACAAATGAAATAGGTCACATTCTATATTTCGTACTAACTGAGAAAAAAAAAATCACAAATCTAGGCAGTTAAAAAGGTTCTTAGTATATTCTTTTATTTAAACACTAAGGGAAAAAAGTAATACATTGAAACACAACCTAATAATGTGGTGCTGTATTAGTGGAAGACATTTGATCATGCTTGGGTCTCTTCAATTGTCTAGAGCTAAAGGTTGAGTACTTGGCTATTTAATCAAGGTGGGAGGTTAAGATAAAAATTCAAAGATGTCTTTGGACAAAAACCCACAAGCCACATAAATAGATGACCACATTTTCTTTTATTATAAACTGGTTTCAGATGAAAATTATTTTTAAAAATTAACATTATTGTATTGCTGTACAGCATATTTGTATTTCAAAAGTCTGATGAATTTTCTCTTCTTCTTTTTTTTTTGGTATTTTTTTAAATAAAATTTTATAATAGCTACAGACTGTAACAGAAAAATCTATTTTTAAAAAACAGAAATACTTCAAAATTATGACTAGTCCAAATTTAAGATATAGTTTGAAGACAGTGTAACCACCACATTTATTTACATGTATGGTTAAAGCAAAGGCCTACAAAAATTCTAATTTTTTTTAAAGATATTATGGAAAAAAATTCTAATTTTTTACTGGGTTTTTGTCAACATAGACTAGGAAGAAAGACAAGTAAGATTAAAACACAGTATTAAGATATCTATTAAATATAGATGTACTACTTATTTTAAAGCCACACCTGTTTATTTTGTTTCTTTGTTTTTTATAAATGATTAGCATAAATATGCTTTGATAAAACTATAAATAGTTTATCAAAAGAGTTGGAGGAAAAAATGAAAGATCAACCCAAGTTGCACAATGAGTTCATGCCAACAAAAGACAAGCACACACAACCCCGCTGAGACAGAGAAAAATACTCCAGGCCTCAAGGTGAGCAAAGTCAATATCTTTTTGCAGGCGTTGCAAGCCATGTTAAAAATCATACTGCTTTGCAAACATTCAATGCGCAAGTCATGCACAGACAACTCGTAGCAGGTCAACTCATTGGATCAAGAATTTTAGCTGCTGAAATAATTATGGTGAAGTAATGATCCAATCAACAATTTTTAAACCAGCTGTTCAATTCAATGAGGAATAACCAATCAAATCAATGAAAAACTGAGCACCATTTGTGGGTGCTTAAATAAACAAAAACAAGATAGCCAAGAAAAATTCACCTGAATTCAAGAAGAACAAAACCATTTGGTAAAAATTTTGAACAGTCGGATCCATGACAAACAATAAGCATGAACACAATGATAGCAAGTTAGAGACCAAAATCAAAACTTCCAATTTTTCTGTGCGGCCAATGCAGATTTTAAAAAGAAAGTTATTTTAAAATTGAAACTAAATAATAAAAAAAACTTCCATTCAATGTCTTTAAATTTTTCATCTCTTTAAGGGACTGAATGTTGAAAATTGAAACGCAAAATAAAACAAACAAAAAAAGTAAATCAGACAAGGGGTGCTTAAATAAAACATTAAAAAGGTTTGCCTCAACTGGTGACAAGCCGACATTGAATTGCAGAGTTTAATTGACAAAAATGAATCATATCAATGGTGGAGCTGATCAGCTGACTAAACATTTAATAAGCTGAGACATGGGCAAACCTTTTTCTGTCAAACAAAACAAACACAGAGAGAAGCTCCTGCAGCATAAGCTCGGATGCAGATGAAGAAAATTGCCTGTAACAATACCTGTCTCATCTGCTGATTCAGATGAGCTGCTTAAAACCTCATCGTTAGTTTCATTTTTTCTTTCTTCACTCTTATCAACTTCAAGTATTTTGCTTACATTACCATCCGTACTTTTCTCTGACTCCTCAATTACCTCGCCTTCAGGTGGTGAATATCATACGAAAAATGATAAATAAAATTCATTTTTATACATGAGGAAAAGAAGAATAATTTCTTTTTTTCAATAATCTATAGCCACAATTTTTTTTTAAATTAAAAAAATAAATTGCTTTAGAAAAATACTGGGGACAAACACCTTTTTTTTCGGAAAGAAAACCTATTAGTTATTACTGAAGTTGATCAAAAGAAAACTGGTTAGTGTGTAATAAACAAACAGAAATGACGAATCCAAACTGAAAATTCTATACTCTGCTGCTGTCTCCACAACAAGGTCATGAGTTTGAATGCAACACAAGGAAATCAAGATTTTCACCCAACTGGTTATGAGAGTAGTAGAGGTTGACATACAACAGTGCAATCATTCTCATTGACAGAAGAGTTAAGTGAGTCAGGGTCTTGTTACCTACTGGCTACTTAGCATCAACATACTTTGCCACAGTTTGTTAGAAAATTTCATTGTTATAATGAAACCACTAGCTGAACATGTGACGGGACAAATTATTCTTACCAGCCTGACTAAGCTGAGAAGATCCTGGAAATGAAAACTTTATCATTTAAAAACTTACGGTCTAAATGAAAGAAAATGGGTTAGTTTTGTGAGATTCTGGTTATTAGCTGTTACATATATTAAATATATATATATATCAGAAAATAGATACATTGATTTTTAAAGTAAAGACTTTTTAAAATTCTTTTTAAAAAAAAGACTTTTTAAAATTCTTTTTAAAGTAAAGACTTTTTAAAATTCCTAAGTTAGGGTACAGAAAAGCAATAGATGTAATGAAAAATGATTTTTATTTATTTGATTAATAGTATATTTGTAAATAAGATTCGTTCTTAAAAGGAAATTAAAATTACCCTGTGGCTATCACTAAATTATAATAGCCTAGAACTATTAACTTATCACCTAAATTTCTAGACAATCCTGATTTTAGGTTTGCATATCACCCTCTCCACTCTGCAAGAAGCCTTACTAATTTGGTAACAAGGTTAAGCTATTTTTTTTTAATATGAAAGTACTACTTTTATAAATCTGTAACAGGTGGACAGTAGTTTTTCTTAATTTAGTTTAATCTATCAATCAATAAAAAAAATATAAAAAGACTACTTGAGAAAGAAAATGGAAATATTTAGTTCTATCATGGCAGAAGTTAAATGCAATGTTTGGGTTAGTAAAATCAATTATATAAAAAAAACTAGATCTAGCATAGGAGCTAAAGACTGGCAGTTTTACAAGAAAGTTTAATATAATTTATCTTTTATTTTCTAATGATAAAATTAATAGCTATCATGTGAAGAATTGGAATTTTAAATTACTTTTTAAACTCACAAACATCTTATTTTTTTATTTTTTTATTAAATGAATTTGCAAAAAAATTGATATTTAGCTCAAACTACAAGTAGAAAATACAGTCAAGCTCTTGAAGTAAATTCCTCTGTCTTTGAAATGAATATTTTTACTAAAAAAAAACTGAAATGTATATAGTTCAGAAACCCTAATTATCAGATATTCAAAAACAATTTATGAAATGGTCAAGCTGTCCAAATTGCTTTCAATCAAATTTTGAGTATATTGTTGTAGACATAACAGTGTTGGACTTCTTATGACTTGCATTTGTTAAAATATCTCACAACTTTTATCCAAGCTTTTTCATCTAACATAGTATTTAATATTTAAATAACAGTTTCTAATCAACAAAGTTGGACTTGAATATTTTTCAAGTTAAAAAAACGACAACACTAATTAACAAAAATGACTCACCTCCTTTGCCAGTTCTAATAATCTTTATCTCTACATCAGATTCCCCAATGTCATTGAAGGCTGTTAGTCTTATTTCATAATAGGAATCTTTTTGTAATCCAGAAATAGTGTAGCTTCGAGCTCCTCCTCCGTTGATGGTCCTTACTGTAGAGGTTGTGTCTTTATCAGCCTTGACTTTCCATTTAGTTGGATCATCATTAGCTTCAACTTCAACCTATCAAACAAAAGAGGAATATACAAACTGTAACTATAAAAAGATTAAACACTAGTGATTTACCAGGAAGTGAAACAATTAATAATTTAAAATTTTAATTTAAATTCTAAAATAATTTATTTTATTTGTATCTAGCAAGGCTGACTTTTGAGTTAGGTGGATTAGGGTTATGACACCACAATAAGTTATGGCATTCAACAGGTAGTTTTAGACCCAATAAACTATGGGTACCATTAGAAGTCTTCACAGGGTACACAGTTCTGAGCTAGCCTCCCCAACTACCCAGTTGTTAGTGTTTATAGATTATGGTAGATTAAAATTTTGGATTCTTATCATTTTTATACTCTATTTTTTAAAAATCCAAGGATATCTCCAAAAAAAAAAAATTAACTAGCTGCTAGTTGAATTAAAATAAAATACCAATGTAACCATTCTATTGACAATTTGAAAAAATATGTAACCATTCTATTTGAAATGATAACTATTTTATAGAAAATTTTAATAAAATAAGTTTTATAGACAATTTTAATAACATAAGTTACCAATGTGTATATAATTTTTTTAAAAATTCCTTACCATTGTATAAACAAAGTCAAATAACAGACATTCTATCGACAAACTGAGTCAAATAATGGATATTCTATCGAAAAGCAGAGTCAAAATAACACACCATTCTATAGACAAACAGAGTCAAAATAACACACCATTCTATAGACAGAGTCAAAATAACATACCATTCTATAGACAAACAGAGTCAAAATAACACACCATTCTATAGACAGAGTCAAAATAACATACCATTCTATAGACAAAGTGTCAAAATAACATACCATTCTATAGACGACTCTGAAGGATGTAATTGGAGAACCGCTGTTAGCAGGATCAGCCCACATGAGAACATACTGGGTAGCATCAGCTCCATTTGCGGGTGAGGTGATGTCCAGACGCAGAGGTTTACTAACTTTTAGGGTTTCCACGTTAAAAGGGTAATCTGTGCCCAGGCCTACGTTGTTCCTGGCTTTGACTCGAATTATATAAGACTTGCTAGGCTCCAGTCCGTCGACCTCCAACCTTGTGACTTGACCAGTTAGTGCTGGAACATTAATACAAACCATTTTAATTAATGGGATAAGAGTCATGGATTAGATAGCCATATATAAAATTTAAATCTGTTATAGAATCATCGAATTTGACTTAAGGGGACTTTTAACATTGGATGTATTAAAATAGTTTCAAAATACAATACAAAATAACAAAATTATTTTAGGCAATATTTCTCATTAAATTATACAGAGTAAAGGTGTATGTATATGCCACGTATTAAAGGTAAAATTATGTATATGCTCCCTGTTAAAGGTAAAAGTTTTTATATCCACCTCATTAAATTAAAGGCTCATGTATGCTACCTATAACAGTTTAAACACTGCCTGACTATCTATGACCAAGTACAATCCTACCATCCAATTTAGCCTGACTCTAAAGTACAATCCTACCATCCAATTTAGCCTAACTATGACCAAGTACAATCCTACCATCCAATTTAGCCTGATGCTATGACCAAGTACAATCCTACCATCCAATTTAGCCTGACTATGAAAAAACAATCCTACCATCTAATTTAGCCTGACTCTAAAGTACAATCCTACCATCCAATTTAGCCTGATGCTATGACCAAGTACAATCCTACCATCCAATTAAGCCTGACTCTAAAGTACAATCCTACCATCCAATTTAGCCTAACTATGACCAAGTACAATCCTACCATCCAATTTAGCCTGACTCTAAAGTACAATCCTACCATCCAATTTAGCCTGACTCTAAAGTACAATCCTACCATCCAAGTGTTGACAACTTACTGGCTTTTCCAGTCAGGGCTGTATTGTCAACCGTGTAGCTGTACTCAGTTACGGGTTGTCCCCCAGTGCGGGTTGGTGGCTCCACATTCAAGGTCACCATTGTGGTGTACGCAGACTCCAGAGATACCTTGGGTTGTTCTGGTGTAGCTGTGAACAGGACAACCAGTTCAAGTCAACCAGCAGCTTTATTGGTACATTTATAAAAGAAACTGACAACCAACAGAATAAACAACAAGCATTCCAGCACCCAGTTCTCTATGTTTGACAATTCAATAAATAAACATTGGCTAAAATAAAAATATTACCAGCACAGTTGTGGTGTCAAGATAAAATATTCTACAGTATAAATAAAAAAATTTGTTTAGATGTTTTTCTTTTCTTTTTTTTTTTTTTTTTATTTACTAGAATTTCCTCTCTTAATGCTTTTAATAAGATTAACGTTTACTTTGTACAAGTTGTGGTAACCTTTATGTCTTTGGTGGTAAAGACATAAAACTGTGGTAAATTTTATGTGTTGTGGCTGACTTAATGTCCAAAGTGGTAAACTTTATGTGTGCTGTGGTTGACTTAATTACCAATTGTAATTCACATGTTGGTATCAATTGTAATTCACATGTTGGTATCAATTGTAATTCACATGTTGGTACCAACTGTAATTCACATGTTGGCACCAAATGTAATTCAAACCATGAGATGACTACAGTAAAAAGTAAAAGCCTGGTAGAAAAAAAAAACTGGGTCTGCCCACCCAGTTTAACAATTTAAAATTCACTTAAAATGTTTTAGCAGATTTGTTAGCTTTTGAATGGAACTCACTCGCTTCTTTTAGTGTAATTTCCTGTGTTGCTTCACCAAAGCTGTTCTTGGCTTCACAGATGTAATTTCTGTACATTTGGGAGCTTGTTGAATCCAGTAGTATCTGCAGATACAACAGTTCAGATATGGTGGTCATAAAGCACACAATGTTACATTAGCAGCTAGAGCACACAATGTTATATTAGCAGCTAGAGCACACAATGTTACATGAGCAGCAGCTAGAGCACACAATGTTATATTAGCAGCTAGAGCACACAATGTTACATGAGCAGCTAGAGCACAAAATGTTATATTAGCAGCTAGAGCACACAATGTTACATGAGCAGCAGCTAGAGTACACAATGTTACATTAGCAGCTAGAGCACACATTGTTACATTAGCACCTAGAGCACACAATGTTATATTAGCAGCTAGAGCACACAATGTTACATGAGCAGCAGCTAGAGCACACAATGTTACATTAGCAGCTAGAGCACACAATGTTACATTAGCAGCTAGAGCACACAATGTTACATTAGCAGCTAGAGCACACAATGTTACATTAGCAGCAGCTAGAGCACACAATGTTACATTGTCAGCTAGAGCACACAATGTTACATTATCAGCTAGAGCACACAATGTTACATTGTCAGCTAGAGCACACAATGTTACATTAGCAGCTAGAGTACACATTGTTACATTAGCAGCTAGAGCACACAATGTTACATGAGCAGCAGCTAGAGCACACAATGTTATATTAGCAGCTAGAGCACACAATGTTATATTAGCAGCTAGAGCACACAATACTACATTAGGAGCAGCTAGAGCACATAGTGTTACAATTGCAGCAAGTAAAGCTGAAGCAGACAAGCCCATGTATTCCTGCATTTCTGACCAGCCCCCCCCCCCCCCCATATTCATGCATTTTAGAGAGAACAGCCACCCACCTCGAGATAGCCAGCGGTCAAGTCCTTGCCCAGCTGCCTGTTTTCGCTGATGGTGTAGGGCCCGCCATTCTCAATTCTGACTGGCAGTTTGGTTGGGTCGGCCTCATCCTTGATAATCCACTGAATGCCGGCCTTCTCGTTGGCTCTGGCCACACAGGTCAAGTTGGCCCTGTGACCGGCCCAGCCCCAGAACTCTTTATCTTTGAAATCTGTGTCAAAGTTGGGTTTGTCTGGAAATTTTTAAAAATAATTGTTAAATTCATTCTTAACTATGCACACAATAGTAGTTTATAATGGTTTAAATGCCAGGAGGATGTTTTCAAGGTTCAATAATTTTACCAGTAACAAGCATCACTATTTAAAAACTGGTCTTAACTTTAACCTATGTATAAACCAATCCCTCATTTAACTGCTATTCCTGGCCTAATATAGCAAAAACTTCAAGGTAATGCAGCATTGTCAGCCAGCATTTTTATAAGAACTTTTTAAATTGGTAGCTTAATTAAATCATTTCCTATCATCACACATCACCAAATACCAGACACCCTCAACATTGTCGTCAAATATCTCCATCACCACCAACCAACAAAACTACCATTTAAGTGGGCTGTTGTTGTTTTTTTAAATTAAGAACAGAGACAAAAAACAAACTACATGTCATTTTTCACCCCCTATGTTATGCAATGTCACAATACTCTTAAGCATTCCCCCCCCCCCCCCCCCCCCACTTCTGTGAAGTCATTTATAATTGATCAACATGTTGAAATAGCAGACATATTTAATGCTGATTGTTACGAACACCTTAAGATAATTAAAATATCCTGAAGCTAGCAACTTGTTTTGAAATCAAGTACTCTAACAAAAACCACAAAGCTTTTTGAGATAGCTAAATAAGCCTTGAGTTCATAAAATACATACAAGTCACTTTAAGCTTACACAGAACTTAATAAACATGTACAAATCTCTCTAAGATGATCAAATGTGGAACTTAATAAACATGTACAAATCTCTCTAAGATGATCAAATGTGGAACTTAATAAACATGTACAAATCTCTTTAAGATGATCAAATGTGGAACTTAATAAACATGTACAAATCTCTCTAAGATGATCAAATGTGCAACTTAATAAACATGTACAAATCTCTCTAAGATGATCAAATGTGGAACTTAATAAACATGTACAAATCTCTCTAAGATGATCAAATGTGGAACTTAATAAACATGTACAAATCTCTCTAAGATGATCAAATGTGGAACTTAATAAACATGTACAAATCTCTCTAAGATGATCAAATGTGGAACTTAATAAACATGTACAAATCTCTCTAAGATGATCAAATGTGCAACTTAATAAACATGTACAAATCTCTCTAAGATGATCAAATGTGGAACTTAATAAACATGTACAAATCTCTTTAAGATGATCAAATGTGGAACTTAATAAACATGTACAAATCTCTATAAGATTATCAAATGTGCAACTTAATAAACATGTACAAATCTCTCTAAGATGATCAAATGTGGAACTTAATAAACATGTACAAATCTCTCTAAGATGATCAAATGTGGAACTTAATAAACATGTACAAATCTCTCTAAGATGATCAAATGTGGAACTTAATAAACATGTACAAATCTCTCTAAGATGATCAAATGTGCAACTTAATAAACATGTACAAATCTCTTTAAGATGATCAAATGTGGAACTTAATAAACATGTTCAAATCTCTCCAAGATGATCAGTTGTGGAACTTTATAAACATGTACAAATCTCTCTAAGATGATCAAATGTGGAACTTAATAAACATGTACAAATCTCTCTAAGATGATCAAATGTGCAACTTAATAAACATGTTCAAATCTCTCTAAGATGATCAGTTGTGGAACTTACACAGAACTAAATAAATATGTTCAAATTTCTCTAAGATGATCAGATGTGGAACTTACACAGAACTAATTAAACATGTTCAAATCTATTTAAGATGACCAATCAGTTGTGGAACTTACACAGAACTTCCAGACTAACTGCCTGTGTGGCGTTCCCAACAGTGTTCACAGCACTGCAGACGTAGATCCCAACGTGGCTGTATCTGACGGGGTTGAAGGAGATGGTTTTTCCCGCTCTTTTGATGATGGCGTCAGACAAATCAGCGGGGACAAAAGTTTCAATTGTCAGTCCTTCCTCCTGGAGAGGATAGGTACAGTCAGCATTGAGGAATTGTAAAGTCAGCATTGAGGAAAGGTACAGTTAGCATTGGGGTAAGGTAAAGTCAGCATTGGGGAAAGGTAAAGTCAGCATTGAGGAAAGGTACAGTCAGCTGGAGGACAGATACAGTCAGCATTGGGGAAAGGTACAGTCAGCATTACGGAATGGTACAGTCAGCATGGGGGAATGGTAAGGTCAGCTGGAGGACAGATACAGTCAGCATTGGGGAAAGGTACAGTTAGCATTGGGGAAAGGTACAGTCAGCATTACGGAATGGTACAGTCAGCATGGGGGAATGGTAAGGTCAGCATTAGGGAATGGTAAAGTCAGCATTGAGGAAAGGTACAGTCAGCTGGAGGACAGATACAGTCAGCATTGGGGAAAGGTACAGTTAGCATTGGGGAAAGGTACAGTTAGCATTGGGGAAAGGTACAGTCAGCATTGGGGTATGGTACAGTCAGCATTGGGGAAAGGTACAGTCTGCATTGAGGAAAGGTACAGTTAGCATTGGGGAAAGGTACAGTTAGCATTGAGGAATGGTACAGTTAGCATTGGGGAAAGGTACAGTTAGCATTGAGGAAAGGTACAGTTAACATTGAGGAAAGGTACAGTTAGCATTGAGGAAAGGTACAGTTAACATTGAGGAAAGGTACAGTTAGCATTGGGGAAAGGTACAGTCAGCATTGAGGAAAGGTACAGTTAGCATTGGGGAAAGGTACAGTCAGCATTGAGGAAAGGTACAGTTAGCATTGGGGTAAGGTACAGTCAGCATTCGGGAAAGTATGGTCAGCGTTGAGGAAAAGTACGGTCAGCATGGGCCTAACGGTGGAGCGCTAGAATGCTAACCCAATAGTTGAGTTTGAATCCGGGTTCAAGTTAGTGGTACGTCCCTGAGTCCACCCAACTCTGATGGGTATCTAACTCACGTTAGGGAAAGTAAAGGCGGCTGGGCTTAGTGCTGACCACATTATCCCTTTATATGCCGAGGTCAAGAAACATAAGAACTCCATTTCATCTGCCTAATCGATTGTTAGGTCTAAAGAGGAATCTTTACTTTACAGTCAGCATTGAAAGATGGCAGTCAAGATGGAGAATAAAAGGTTACTCCATTTCCATGTAAAATATTGCTATAAGTAAAAAGATTGATGAAATACCTTAACACCAGTGTCTGATGCTATAAGTAAAAAGATTGATGAAATACCTTAACACCAGTGTCTGATGCTATAAGTAAAAAGATTGATGAAATACCTTAACACCAGTGTCTGATGCTATAAGTAAAAAGATTGATGAAATACCTTAACACCAGTGTCTGAATAGGTTGACTCTGAACCAAGTTTCTTCCAGACAATGGAAGGTTCTGGATCACCTTCGGCTTCACACTTGAAGTTGATGTTTCCACCTTCAGCAGCATCAGTGATGTTGGTCATTTGTTTGATCACTGGTGGAACTGCAGATACAGAAATAATGGCGTTAGTCTTCTTGAAGTATAACTTTCAAGGTTAGTCTTGTTGAAGTACAACTTTACATGTGGCCAGGCTTGGACTAAATATAATTTAAAATTTTATTAATCTTCAACAAAATTTAATTTTAATTTAAAATTTTGTTAGGCTTGGACAAAATCTTTCCAGAAAGAAAAGAAGACAGAAGTTAAGAGCAAACGGACCACATGACCAGAGACGTAGTGACCCATTCCAGCGCCCAGGGTGGACTATCAATTTTGCGCCCTCCTCCTATTCATAGAAACTATATATATGTTGATGGGACACCCGACCCCCAATCCCGACTAGTTGAAAAGATTGGTGGTGCTTTTTACCAGTTTTTATCTCAAAACAGTTTTTATTTTTGTGCAACACGATGTAGAAATCAGTGTGTAAAGCCTTGTAGACTTTTCTTTTCTCAACTTTGACTTTTTATAATTCAATATTTCAGCTTAAAATAAATGAGCTTTTTAACTTTTTTTTTTTTAACCCTTTTGGCGCTCCCTTACATTTGGGGCCCACGGGACGGCCGCCCCACCATCATTCCCCTAGATATGCCACTGCACATGGCATGGGTTGTCACAAAATTACTGTGATAGAGGAAATCCCCTTCAATATTACAAATAAGAACAGGAAGAAACAGAGAGAGAGATTGACTCACTTTTAACATCGAGTGTGTTTGACTTAATTCCCCTCAATATTACAAATAAGAACAGGAAGAAACAGAGAGAGAGATTGACTCACTTTTAACATCGAGTGTGTTTGACTTAATTCCCCTCAATATTACAAATAAGAACAGGAAGAAACAGAGATTTTAACTTACTTTTAACATCGAGTGTGTTTGACTTAATTCCCCTCAATATTACAAACAAGAACAGGAAGAAAAAGATATTTTAACTTACTGTTAACGTCGAGTGTGTTTGACTTAATCCCCCTCAATATTACAAATAAGAACATGTAGAAACAGAGAGATTTTGACTTACTTTTGACATCGAGCGTGTTTGACTTAATACCCTTCAATATAACAAATAAGAACAGGAAGAAACAGAGATTTTAACTTACTTTTAACATCGAGCGTGTTTGACTTAATACCCTTCAATATAACAAATAAGAACAGGAAGAAACAGAGATTTTAACTTACTTTTAACGTCGAGTGTGTTTGACTTAATCCCCTTCAATATTACAAACAAGAACAGGAAGAAAAAGATATTTTGACTTACTTTTGACATTGAGCGTGTTTGACTTTATCACCCTCAATATTACAAACAAGAACAGGAAGAAACAGAGATTTTAACTTACTTTTAACATCGAGCGTGTTTGACTTAATCCCCCTCAATATTACAAACAAGAACAGGAAGAAACAGAAAGAGATTTTAACTTACTTTTAACATCGAGTGTGTTTGACTTACTTTTAACATCGAGCGTGTTTGACATACTTTTAACATCGAGCGTGTTTGACTTACTTTTAACATCGAGTGTGTTTGACTTACTTTTAACATCGAGCGTGTTTGACTTCTCAACCTTTCCTCCCTGGTTTGAGGCAATGCAAGTGTAAAGAGCCTCATCTTCACGCTGCAGTTTTTCAATGGTCAAAATGCCACTGTTTTTGTCCAGTAGGATGCCTTCTTTGTTCTCAGCTATAAGGTTCTCTCCCTGAAAAAAAAAAGATAAATAAAATTTTCCCGTGTGTTATTATACTAAATTTATCATGTTATACTCAATCAGGAACTCAATTATTATGTTATACTCAATCAGGAACTAAAATTATGTTATGTTCAATAAATTATGTTTTGCTGAATTAGTCATTACATTTGTTTTATTATACAAACAATTGTTTATAAGTTTTTGTGATTAAAGTACACCACACACAAAAAATCAACAACTGTAGATCTAAAATTGTGCTAGAGAAATTGTTTTTTTTTTTTACATATTTCATACAATTTAAAAATTATTGAAACGAAAATGCATTGCTAAATATTGGTAGGCAGAAAGATTTTTAGGGTATTTAAAGTAGTCATTTAACAGGTCAATTGACAGGTGATTAAACATATATCTTCAGGCTTACAATCAAGATTTAGCTTTAACAGGTATATTTAGGTTTAGAGTCAAGTTGTAGCTACAAAAGTTATTAGCTTTAAAGACCAAATTTAGCTAGAAAAGGTAATAGCTTTAAAGACCAAATTTAGCTACCAAAGGTATTAGCTTTAAAGACCAAATTGTTCTACAAAATGTATTAGCTTTAAAGACAAAATTGTGCTACAAAAAGTATTAGCTTTAAATACAAAATTTTGCTGCAAAAGGTATTAGCTTTAACCGTTAAAGCGCACGCCATGTGGCCTTACATGTTATAAGTTATGTAACAGCAAAGCCACAATCGTGGTTTGGCGCGCCTTAGGTTTTAAAGACAAAATTTAGCTGCAACCCAAAACTTAAAGGTTTACAGTAAAAATTTAGCTATTACAGAAACCTACTCGTTTGTATTCATAGGTGGGTTGAGGGCTGCCCTGGGCAACACAGGAAATGGTCACTCTGTCTCCGACTTTTGGGTTGTTTGGCTGGATGGTTGGTGGCAGGTCAATGGTTGGCGGTTCTGAAATAAAGATTTTTTTAAAAGGTTAATTTACTACTGAAGTAGCCAATACTCTTTCTTGCTTAACACAATGACTTAGCAGAGAAATAAAGATATAAAAAAAATGTGATAATAGACCATATAGCTAATAACTATAACAATTGAACCTAACTAGTTGCAACAGCTTAAGGCTGAAATAATGGCATCTAACAGGTTGATCTCTTGAAGTATTTTTTTATATTTTTAAGATCAGGTTATCATATGTTAAAATATGCTATCATAACATCTTGATTGTTTGTTTTTGTATCACTTTTGTACTAATTTGATTTATTTACAGTAATTAATATCTTAGGTAACTAAACTATATTTTTAACTAAAATTATATTTATGTTTTTTTCACATTGCCACAAAAATTATCTTTAACTCCAAACAAACTAGGTATTTAACTTGTTAAGGGTTAGAGATTGTGTAGAATGTGGGACTTCTTGTTATGGAGTATTATTTATGTTGTGTGTATATATATATATATATATATATATATATATATATATATATATATATATATATATATATATATATATATATATATATATATATATATATATATATATGTATTATGAAGAAAGTATTTTAGCAAATTAAAAGTACACTGACAAAAGTGAATTGTGTTTGATTGCAAAGAAAAAAATAAAGAGAGCACTGTATGTTACAAAAATATACTTACTAACAACTACATAGTTGATGGTGAAGACCTTGGCCTCACCACTCTGGTCCACCACCACATCACAGACGTAATTTTTGGAGTCTTCAAAGGATAAGTCTTTTATTGTCAGCTTGCTCTGACCAATGACGTACTTGTTGTTATCTGTCAAAAACACGCATTCATTTATCTTGATGTTACGTATGCTCAAACAAAAAGACTTTGTAGAGAACCCCCTATACTTGTCAGTAATACAATAAGACTCACCCATATACTTGTCAGTGACACAATGAACCCCCCAAATACTTGTTAGTAGCACAATGAGACCCCCACCCATGCTTGTCAGTGACAATATGACCCCCCCCTCATACTTGTCAGTGACACAATGAGACCCCCCATACTTGTCAGTGACACTATGAACCCCCCCCCCCCCCCATACTTGACAGTGACACTATGAGACACACACCCCCCACTTACCTGTGGTGACGCGGCTGCCATCTTCAAACTTCCATGTGATGGTAGGAGAGGGCTTGGCCTCAGCCTCACACATGACATTTCCCTCCTGACCAAACAGACCCCACTGGTTTTCCGGGGACTTTATCGTTATAAGCTCTGTTGAAGAGATTGTTTTTTTTTTAATTTTATTACAGTATTTTATTTCATGCTTAGCTGGGGACTAATAATATTTCCTCTGTTGAACATATTTTTTAAACAAAAATGATACTTAATGTAAAGATTAGACTGTACGCTAGACTGCTAACCCAAAAGTTTCGAGTTCAGATTAGGATTAAGATTAAGTCTCAAGATTTAAGACCCGTGTGACAATAAAAAAAAGATTTAAACAAATCTCTCCCCCCTCCACCAATAGGCTGTTTAGAAGAATATTAAACTTACTGTAAACTTGAAGATTAGTTTTCCTGCTGTCAGTCTCACTGCCGAAGGTGACCTCGCACTTGTATTCACCCTCGTCCCCATCCTCTACGGAATTGATGCGGAGCCTTTTGCTTGAACTGTCAGACCCTAGTTCTATCCTCACCCTGAAAATAACATTTTTATTTTATTTTCACATGAAATTATAAAAACTTCTCAAGAACTATGGGTTGATGAAGCGATACAGATTGTTAACCTGCTGTAGTTGATATACCTGCTGTGATTATTATACCAGATGTAAGTGTTATATCAGCTGTAGCTATTGGACCAGCTGTAGCTGTTATATCAGCTATAAGTATTATACCAGCTATAATGGTTATATCAGCCAGTGGCGTAGGCAGGGGGGGGTTAGGGGGGGTTATAACCCCCCCCATGTACCCCCAATATGACTACCTTTTTACCTTAAGCTACAGCTATTGACTTGTGTCGATATTATTTAGGGCTTAAACACTAAACACTTAACCTGGCAGCCTCTAGAACAACAATGTATATCATTGTGATGAGAATTGCCTGTAGAATTTAGTTATGAATTTTATTATCGTGCTAAAGTTAAGTATAATAATCTGGAACGCAGTAGGCCAAGGGAAAGTTGGCCAAGGTTAGATCAGTTAAGGAGTGTCGAATGGGGAGGGGTGGGCTACGTGGGTAGGCCTTTGTTGTCTAATATGATTGTAGTGCAACCGGAAAGCGCCTAGAAATTAAAAAAAAAACAACAACGAAGGAATTGATTATTATTCGCATTGAGGTTCTATAATGTGTATGTTTTTACTACTTCAAAACATTTGAAATTCATTTCACTAATGGCGGATGAAACAGGGAAACTGAAAACTATTTAATTTTTAAAAAGATAAGTAAACTGAAAATGATAAAGATGGCAGAGGACACAAGGTTATCAGTTAAAGGGTGTGACAGGGGGGGGGGGGGGGTGAGGGTGGGTTTGAATATGGGTACGTCTCAATTACTACCGGATGCACATCTGGCAGGAAAGCGTGGGCTGGACCCACAATTGTTGACACAAAACTTAGTGTTGGTAGATATAAAAACTGCGTAGGTGGTTAAATATAGATGTAGAGCCAGGAACCTACAGTAGTCATTTTTAGACAGTCAGAAAAGAAAGACCAATAATTATTTATTTTCTTATTCGCATAGTCGTGTTTTAATGTGTATCTTTTTGATAATTAAAGCAATTTAAATTCATTTTAATGATGTCGGATGGAAAAAGGAAATTTAAAACTACTTTATTAACTGATTTCTTTACAAAGAAAAATAAAACTGAAAATGATAAAAATGAAGATGGTACTATTGACTCTCAAACTACATTACATCAAGAAATTTCCATAAATTCAGCACCTTTGACTGTTTCTTATGCAAATGATATCGGCAATTTTATCAAAGGAGTTATTACAGATGATACACGGTTGTATTTATTAGAAAACATCTGGCGTCCCGAAGAACTTTTTAAATTTCCAGCAAGCGGACAAAGAAATTTAAAGTTTCAATATTCGTGGCTACTTAGGTGGAACTGGTTGACTTATTCCAAATTACTTGATGGCGCATTTTGCAAATATTGTGTTTTGTTTAGTTTGAATTATGGTGGTGTAGGTAGTCAGCCTTTAGGTAAGTTATCAAAAATTCCATTTTCAAACTGGAAAAAGGCAACAGACAAGTTTAATGAGCACCAGCAATGTGAATATCATAAAAGAGCAATTTTACTTTCCCAAAATCGTAAATCGGTTATGGAGAAAAAAATAGAACCTATTAACATCGCCTTGAACTCATCAGTAAGTCAACAAATTCTAGAAAATCGTTTAAGGTTAGCGCCCATAATAGAAACTATAATTTTTTGCGGCCGACAAGGTCTTGCACTTAGGGGGCACAGGGATTTCGGAAATTTTCAGTTGGAGGATCCTGACGAAAATGATGGAAATTTTCGAGCTCTTTTAAGATACAAAGCCATGGGTGGAGACGAAACACTTAAACATCATCTAGAAAATTCTTCAAAAAATGCAAGATACTTAAGTCCCACCATTCAGAATGAAGTGATAAATGTGTGCAATAAATTAATTGTTCAAAAGATTGTTGCGAAAATTACTTCTGTTAAATTGTTTTCTGTCTTAGCCGATGAAACTAGTGATATAGCTGGTATGGAGCAATTTTCGTTGTGTGTTCGCTACTATGATAACGACATAAAGAAAATAAGGGAGGATTTCCTACAGTTTGTAGGTGTAACTGATCTAACAGGCAAAGGACTTGCAAATGTTTTAATGGACACTCTAGCAAATTTACACATAGACGGTAATTTTATGATAGGTCAAGGATATGATGGAGCCGCTGCAATGAGTGGTCGACTTCATGGGGCGCAACAATATGTTGCTGAGAAATTTGATTTGGCTATTTACGTGCATTGCGCATCTCACAGTCTAAACCTAGCACTTTCTGATGCCTGCGAACTACCAGCTGTAAGAAACTGTATGGGAATTCTTAATAGTACATACAACTTTTTTAACACACCAAAACGACAATCTTTGCTTGCAAATTCAATAGAGAAATTAACACCTAAAGCATCAGCATCTCGACTTAAACGATTGTGCGCAACCAGATGGATTGAGCGTCATGAGTCTGTCAACGTTTTTATACAGCTTCAAAAAGCAACTGTTGATGCACTGGAAATTATGTCATCCTGGCACGATACAACAACTTCTTCAACAGCGGTTCAACTTTTAGGTGCAATTAGGAGTCTTGAGTTTCAAGTTTCTCTTAGAGTTATCTCAAAAATCTTTGCAATAACACTTCCTGTCAGCAGAATACTCCAAACAGAAAACTTTGATCTATCTGCGGCTCTAAAATTTACAGAAGATTCAAGTAGCCTACTAGTGAATATGCGGAAGGATGCTGAATCAGAATTTACTACCGTATTTAATGAAGTCAAAGACATTTGTGAGGACTTCGACATAGATATACTTATTCCACGTCGAGCTGGAAAACAAATTCAACGCTGCAATGTTATGGCAAATACGCCTGAAGAGTATTACAGAATAGCTGTATTTATTCCTTTCCTTGATTCGGTTATATGTCAAATAGGAGACAGATTGCTAAAACATAAATCTGTTTTGAGAGGTTTTATGTGTCTTTTACCCAATGACTCGGGTTTTACCAAAGAACAGGAAAAGAATGCCATAATACTTATGCAAAAATATGAACGTTTGATTAACAGCAGTGTCATCGATGAAAGCATTGGAGAACTGAAACTGTGGTGGCGCCACATTATTACAAGTGGAAATGTACCGCAAAACGCTCATCAAGCTTTTTTAATGTGTGACGTAAAAATATTTCCAACAGTACACAAACTACTGCAAATATTTGTAACATTGCCTGTAACAACTGCCGTTAGCGAACGCTCTTTTTCCACTCTCAGACGGCTAAAAACGTACTTGCGAAATACTACTTGCGAGGATAGACTAAATGGATTGGCATTATTAAATATTCACCGACAAATTGAAATTTTAGCGGATGAGGTTCTTGATGAATTAGCCAAGAGTCCAAGAAGACTTGAACTACGATTATAGGTAAGTAATGTTATAAGTACTTTTATCTGTTTGCTGTGTTCTAGTACTGTTATTGCGTCTATATATATATATATATATATATATATATATATATATATATATATATATATATATATATATATATATATATATATATATATAAAAAATGCTGGAAAAAAATTGGAACCCCCCCCATGAGACGATCCTGGCTACGCCACTGATATCAGCTGTAGCTGTTGTACCAGCTGTAGCTGATAAACCAGCTGTAGCTGTTATATCAGCTGTATTATACCAGCTATAATGGTTGTACCACCTATAAAATGTAATGCCATCATTTTATACCAGCTGTAGCTGTTATACCAAGTAAGTCTGTTATAGCAGTCGTAACTGTTATACCAGTTGTAGTTGTAAAACATGCAACAAGGAACAACAACGATCACAGGAGCATCAGATAAATCCTCCCCCCCCCTCCATATTTTCAGACACCAATTAAAACAATGATATTGCCCTCTCCATATTTTCAGCCACCAATTAAAACAATGATAAAGTAAAATAATTTTGCTTTACCTTCCAGTGGTAGCGGTCAGCTCCACCCCATTGATAAACCACTTGATCTCAGGCTTCTGTCCAGAGTCACTCTGGCTGACCGCTGAGCAGGTCAAGACCTTGCCAGAGCCCACGTTACCATCTATTGTATCGCCCTCTGGTGTGATCTTCATGCTGAAACTGATGGTTTTTTGACCTGTAACAACAAGAGTTACCATTATTAGTTTCATGTCAGACGGTTTTTGCGGTGCATATCAATTCAATTCGTACATTATTTAATAATAATTATAGTTGTTCTCTGCATAATTAATTAACTCAGCCAATTATTGAAGTGATAGAGAAAAGACATTGTATTTAAAAGAAACAAAAATACTCATCCATCATGCCAAAATTATTTTGTGGCTTTTAAAAAATGAGCATAAACTTAGATGTTTAGAACCTCGAAAAAAAATTTGGACAGATTGGGGTTTCAGCTAAGGATCTTGTGTAGCCTTTTTAAGTCTGTGAATTTAATTACCACAGGGGGGTAAGGGGGAGTTTTCAGGATAAAATCGATTTTATTTTAAATAATGTTAGTTGTTGTTTTTTTAATCAGCTGGTTTTAAATGTGGTGTAAAAAAAAAAGAACCTTCAAAGTAAATTAGGGAACTGGTAGTGTTCAAGAGAAGTTATGCTGTACTACAAATGGTTTGTTTTAAAGACATACACAACCAAGTATTGATGGTAAAATAAAACACCAAACAACATTAACAAATCCTATTTTTATCAATGTATGTAGTTGTATTAATGTATCTTTTATTTCATTGAGAAATGTCCGAATCCTATAGTGACTACTGTAGCAATAAATGTCACCAGCAACCCACCCTAAAGGTCAGGGTAACATTTATCTGTCCACCATTATTTCACCAGAACAACACACACAAATTGTGATTATCTCGCCAGTCTGCTCGGTTTATGGTGCTAGAACACGAGTCATAAATAGGTTACACTCGTGAATTAAGACTACAGAGTTTGTTTTTTCTTTATTGTTTACGGTGAAACTCAGGAATAGTAAGCGGTAATCATAAAGCACCATGATGAAAATTTAAAACGCATCTAAGGCAGAATTACATCATAGCATAGTCTCTCCTTGCTTCCCCCCCCCCCCTCCCCCATCTTATCTCTCTTTAATATATCGACTTATAAAAGATCTGAAAAAACGGACGCCATCTTTTTCCTGTTAAAATTTGAAGAAGATTAATTTAACCACAAGGCATATATTTTTTTTTAGAATCAGTAAATGTTAATAGACAGCAGACACTTCAGGGTAATATGTAATATAAAAACTTTTTTTTAGAAGTGGTGGGTGTCGCCGTTGATACGCCTACGCCCCGTAACAAACTATGGTCTCTTGGTCGAGGCCAGAGCGAGTTGATTTTGTGTAAAGATACTTGGGTGCTCTGTTCACAAAAAAAAAAAAAAAAAAAAAAAAAAAAAAGCTGTCGAGCTTCCCGTCCAATGCCGTGTAAAACAATGAGTTTTAGACAGGTGCGTAAGATCGTGCATCTGTGCGGGAGGTTCATGTGTGTGTGTTTTTTTGTGTGTGTGCAGTCTTGTTAACTTAAGTTAACGATGTGATCGGGACCGCCATCTTAAAACCCGCGCCCGAGGTTCGAGCTTTGACAGAGGGCCAATAAAATAAAAGACTTATGGGTTATACAAAACTCGAGGGTTTTTTTTAGGGGGGGGGGGGGGGGTAAATGGGTGGAAAGTAATTTATGACATGGTCTATTCTGTCGTACAATTGACGTCTAGTTATTTTTTTAAGACTATAGCTAGGGAGAAATCGTGGAGTAATCGTATGAACAGAAGTAGTTTGTATTCGCGTCTGTCTCGACGATTTAAAAAACTGTTTCCCTCCTCGCATCTCTACCCTCGTTTAAGATGAAAAGCCAATGCATTCCCCCCCCCCCCCCCCGCTCGTGTGTTAGACTCCCTATGGACACCGTGTGAGGCGAAGTAGAGGGGCATAGAAACTGTGTGAGGCGAGATGGGGTGTGGAAACTGTGTGGGGGAGGTGTGTGGGGGGACGGAAAGGGGGTGATGGAGAAATAATACAAATGGGTATCTGCTCGCCAGTTTCTGAACGCACGCCAATATCCGCCTGAACGTAACGCTACTGTGATAGACGAGCCAACTGTTTCCACGAGAAGCCCTCGCCGCGTGCTCCAATAAACATATGATGAAATCTCACCGGGCAGAGCCGAGGGATATCGTGTGAATCAGAGGGCTTTAAGACAGGGATGGCCGACAGGCAACGCGGGGTGGGGCTCATTATGTATGTATGTCTGTATCTTACATATCAAAGTTTGTATGTATTTGTATGTGGGGATGATAGGTGTAGATGTATTCAAATACACAGATGTCAGAGTGTTATGTGCATGTATGTGTTAAATATCAATGACGTAGTGTGAAGTGGAAAAAAAATTTAAAGGACAGCTCAGAGGTGTCTTATTCTACCTTGAGTGAGGGAATAGAAGGCCAGTGTGGGACAAGACTCTGATGTCGACGTGGTCAAGTCTAAAGAATACTGCACAAAGTCGTGGAGGTCTAGACCGATATGACAACAGGAAGCCTTAGCGAGATTTTGTAGTCGGCATGACTGGACCGACTAAAACTGTGTCCACGTCAGACCGTCAAATCACCAGACAACCACGTGCGGTCCTGTGAGCACGGCACCCAACTCGTGACGAGCATTGGACGAGCTCACGATCGATCCTTCAACACAGCCGACATTACACACACACACACTGGCACTCGCTGGCTCTTGTTACTGATGGCCTGCCACCCAGTGGTTCTCATTCTACACACGCCATCCCAGCGGTTCTCATTCTACACACGCCATCCCAGCGGTTCTCATTCTACACACGCCATCCCAGCGGTTCTCATTCTACACACGCCACCCCAGCGGTTCTCATTCTACACACGCCACCCCAGCGGTTCTCACTCTACACACGCCACCCCAGGGGTTCTCATTCTACACACACCACCCCAGGGTTTCTCATTCTACACACACCACCCCAGCGGTTCTCATTCTACACACGCCACCCCAGCGGTTCTCACTCTACACACGCCACCCCAGGGGTTCTCATTCTACACACACCACCCCAGGGTTTCTCATTCTACACACACCACCCCAGCGGTTCTCACTCTACACACGTCACCCCAGCGGTTCTCACTCTAGACACGCCACCCAGCGGTTCTCATTCTACACACGCCACCCCAGCGGTTCTCACTCTACACACGCCACCCCAGCGGTTCTCATTCTACACGCGCCACCCCAGCGGTTCTCATTCTACACACACCACCCAGCGGTTCTCATTCTACACACCCCACCCCAGCGGTTCTCATTCTACACGCCACCCCAGCGGTTCTCATTCTACACACGCCACCCAGCGGTTCTCATTCTACACACACCACCCAGCGGTTCTCATTCTACACACCCCACCCCAGCGGTTCTCATTCTACACACGCCACCCCAGCGGTTCTCCTTCTACAGAGCCCATCCAGCGGTTCTCATTCTACTCACGCCACCCAGTGGTTCTCACTCTACAGAGCCCATCCAGCGGTTCTCATTCTACACACGCCACCCAAGCGGTTCTCATTCTACACACGCCACCCAGCGGTTCTCATTCTACACAGCCCATCCAGTGGTTCTCATTCTACACACGCCACCCAGCGGTTCTCATTCTACACACGCCACCCAAGCGGTTCTCATTCTACACACGCCACCCAGTGGTTCTCATTCTACACACCCCACCCAGTGGTTCTCATTCTACACACGCCACCCAGCGGTTCTCATTCTACACACGCCACCCCAGCGGTTCTCATTCTACACACGCCACCCAAGCGGTTCTCATTCTACACAGCCCATCCAGCAGTTCTCATTCTACACACGCCCACCCAGCGGTTCTCATTCTACACACACCACACAGCGGTTCTCATTCTACACACGCCCACCCAGCGGTTCTCATTCTACACACGCCCACCCAGCGGTTCTCATTCTACACACACCACACAGCGGTTCTCATTCTACACACGCCCACCCAGCGGTTCTCATTCTACACGCCCCACCCAGCGGTTCTCATTCTACACACCCCACCCAAGCGGTTCTCATGTTCGCATGTTAGCCACTATTCGTAGGATGAACGCATGTAGCTTTCTCTGCAGTTAGGCTTACACAATCAACCCCCCCCCTCTCCCACACCCGCCCACCTCCTCTACATACCCACACACACTTCAGGTCAAGCTCTTTTATTTATTACTTACATTTTTTAGATAAATAAAACATCACTGTTTACATTCAGAAATGAATGTTCAAAATATTTTTTTTTAAATAAAATGAACCTACATGCAAACACACAGATAAAAAAAAATAATGAAATAACCCCGAGCTAGTTACGTGGCTTGAGCTGAAGACGAGGGCGATAAAAAAAAACAAGTAAACGCCACGAGGCTTCGTTTATTAGCAGGATCTTCATAACGCGTTTCACCTTTCTCCCAGCTCACACGCACACACGGGGAGAGAAGGGTTTTTAAAAAAAAAACATTGAAGAAAGTTGTTCTCTTATTACAACCTCAACTTCGCCTCGGTAATTCAATTGATGCACGAAGCATGACACGAGTCGATGCGAACAAACCAACGAATGTTTCGGAAAACAATGCACAAGCTACACTAGCATGGCGTCAAAAACATCAGGGGGCGGGGGGGGGGGGGGGGGGATATTTTCCCAGGGGGAAATATTGAAATATTTTCAAAGTATGATCAGATTTTAAACAGCGGGGGCGTAAAAGATTTTAAAAAATCAATAAAAATGTTATGCTAATTATTTTTTTTTAAATTCTTTGCTTGAATGCTTTATCTTCTCAATTAACCCATTAGACGAATATCACATTACTAAGGTGCAAACAAAGGCATCAAATGAACATCAACAAGCTCTGTATTGCTCAACTCGGGCATCCAACGCCATTAATTAACATCCACAACTACATTTGACACGGATATTAAAAAATAACATTAATGAGACGCATGATGGGAAATAACTCTGCTGAGAGCTTGACCAATATGCCCCCTATGACCAAATGACCTGTAATGCCAAAATCGTTTTGTTAAGTGACCGCTGGTATGCCCTGTAAAAAAAAACGTTCCTCGCGGTA